AACATTATCAGTTCAATATTCCATGTCGAAAACGTCTATTGTTGTTGTATTGCGACGTCAAAATGGGTAGATTTGCGATGACAATTACAATATGCACGAAGACTGATCGATAAGTTGTAAGCCCTGTAAAGAAGAGGTTATGCAGGGATGTCATTTTTCAGTTCACCTTTCATTGTTTATTTAAGGATGTGTAGCCGAAGACTGGTGTCATTTGGTCAGTTTATGTCGAAGAAGTAAAAATGGACAATGAAAAAGCAGTGATTCAATATTTGCATAAGAAATATCTAGCACCTAATATTTATACTGATATAGTAGCTACAGTGACAAGGAAGATGGTGGAATTTAAGCGTGAAAGAGAGAGCCTTGGGGATGACGCAATCCTAGAAGGCCTCACACGGTTGCAGCCTCAGAAATGACCAATAAAGTCCAGGTATAGTGTGGTGTACACGAGAGTTATATAGAGATAATATGACCTGTGAAGTTGGAATTTCACAGGAAAGAGTACATTTCTTTCTAACGGAAGATCTTTCAATGCGAAAGATCTCAGTCCGTTGGGTACGAAGACTTCTGACAATAGATTAGAAACGCACTATGCGGACTTTGTCGTGTGAAAATCTGAACCTTTTTGAGGAAGATCCTGCTAACATTTTTGCAGAGATTTGTAGCTATGGATGAAACGTAGTTCCATAATTTTACCCCAGGGGCTAAACAACAGTCTGAACAATGGAATCACCCTGGTCCATCCCCGCCAAAGAAGACAAAGACTGTTCCAGCTGGAAAGACTATGGTCTCGCTTTTCTTTGAATGCTGATGATATTCTGATGGTAGATTATCTGCAAAAAGGACAAACAATCAATGGCACGTATTATGCATCAAATTTTAGGCAGTTTAATGTAAATAGTAAACTCAAGCGCCACAGAAAACCCAGTAAAGATGTGTTGTTCCACCAGGACAATGTCCCTGCTCCCAAGTCTGTCATTGCCATGGATGTCATAAACAATTATGGCTTTTAATTGATTGAACGTATGTCTAATTCACCTGATCTCGATCCAGCAGACTTTCATCCATTTCCAAAATTGAAAAAGACCCTTTCGAGTACCCACTTTCGGTCAGACGATGACAGTCAAGACAAGGACCGCTTTAAAAGTTATCTTGAGGTCCTTAAACATCGCTGGAAAAAAGTATAGATACTGATGAAAAATAATGCAATATTTCCTCCAGAAGTGAAACCCTTAAATATGAGGCTCCAACTTATCAATCATCCCTCGTATATTCGTATTGGTTTAAACATTGAATATAGAACACACCTGATCCGAGTCTGTCATGTCCTTGATTTCCAATTCTGATGATCATTCAATCTTTTTTTGTTATTACTTGTATGTATTTCACTCATGTTACAGAATAATGATATTGTTCAAGAGAGAAGAGCACTAGTGAAAGATGTAAATATGTTTTGTCATATCAGAGAAATGTCAAGTATTTAACGGGATACCAATAAATTTTCTTTTTATTTCATTCAAAATATGAATGAAAAAAATCCATCAATAAAAGTAAATTGTTCAAACACGTTAAATATAAGCAAGTGCTTTGACTTCAGATAGTTTGACGTTACGCTTGACAACAAGACGACGCTATTTTAGGTTGCTTTACATTGCATTCCATCCCAAGCTAGAAAGAATCGCGTACTATCTTGATATACCAAGTAAGGGAAAACCAGAAATTTACACGGGAAAGATTTGATGGAAAACTAATTTATTCACCATTGCTTTCCTTTGTGTTCGAGCAGGAAACTTGATTAATCTTAATGCATTGACTAGAAAGTTGGTCAATACGAAAATTATATCATCGATAGTAGTGATATAAGATTCCCTATATCCTCACAGCAGCTTTTATCAAATTGATAAATATAAATATTTCATTGGCAAAAGCTTGACAAAAACAATTTAAATACAAAATGATAAAACTAATATTAGTAAATGATATATGACTTCAATGAATCTCATTCCTTTGCTTGCGTTTTTCATGTGTAGATGATTGATTATTGAATATCCTATACTGTTTACCTACGTAGATTCGGCATGCGTAATCAGGTACATTTTGAAACGTCGAAGGCAGCTTCCTACAGTAACTTCTGGTGTACCTTTGATACCGACATCAAACAGGTGCACGTATGATAGAAAATCTTTCTTATTCTACTGTGATAAAGGGTACCTAAAACGAGGTTAAAGATAGAGAGTTAAAGTCTCTGACATAATCCAAGGTTAATATCTTGTTAAACTACCAGTTATGACGCAAGAGGCCTACTGCCATTTTTATATTACTGCAGTAATTAATTACTGAAAGGAAAATAACTCAAGTAAACTCTACACATTAACAATGTAATTGGTATAACCGCTGTGGTATGTGGTTTCCCTCAGATGTACAGCATAAGGGTGGTCGTCGGATCCAGACGGTATTTGTCTACTAATTTCATCACTACACCTCATATCGAGCATGCATTCGTGTTCCCGTTAATGTTTTTTCTTCGGCACTGTGTTTTTCGAATACTAATATGATCACAACATTACATTGAATTGCTTACTTACTTATTTTATGTTATGGCCTTGTTATTTACTTCATTTTGATTTGATTTTTAATCCTTTTGACCTGATTAATGGTATCAATCTACTATATGTCTGGATGCAACGTGCCGACGATTGATAACGTTATGTACTGGAGAAGCTTTTATTTGTCATTGTGAGTTCATAAGCTCGGGTATTTCCTTGGTGGTACGTCGAAGTACGTTACACATAACCTTTTGGTTCACTAAGCAATGTATATGTGTTAATAACTAATGTCTGACTTAGTTTAGATATCATAAACTAATTTCCGGAACTGTAATTATTACAAATAAAAAATGAATGAATGAATGAATGTTCATTTCAGGAAAGTACTTCGTATATTGAATACAATAGTAAATGTTGTATTCAGCTTGTGCAAGATAAACAGCTGTTGATAACAATGTATGTATGATAAGATATATAAAAGAAATAGATTTTGGGCTTAAGGTTTCAACACAGAGACAACATGAGCTCGTGATTCTTGAAAACTAAGAACAGAGAGGTAAGTATGAATATTACATAACAAAAGGAAAGTGCGAGACATAAAAACAAAACAAGTACACGACGAGAATTCGAGAGATATCAAAAATAAAAAAAAGATGACAGCAGGAATTCAGAAACAATATGAAGTGAAGGTAAAAGAACAAGAGGCGTTCGTTAAACCCTAAGGAAATGGTGAAACAAAATGAGGCCTTAAGCACGGCGTAATATATACATTAACACGACGAAGAATGGGACGAGACTCCGTTAGTATCAGTGTTGACCATGTTACTCGCATCGCCCCGAACGACACGCATTGACAAGTGTTCGCAGTGAAACTGTTACAACTAAATAGTATATTGTCTGTTATAGGTGTATCCTTATACTATAATTAAAATCGGTTCCGACGCTAATCAAAGGTAGGCAACTTTTGTAAGAAATTTGATAACACTGTAATGATACTGCTGCTGCTTTGCAATTTTATTGATAACAAGTTTGGGAGATACGGAATTTTTTCTACATATACCTTATTTACAGGTATAACACATTGAATAACACCTTACACACAGTTTTACTGGGAGTTTCTCTTACATAATAGCAGGAAATGTGTCATGATTTCTTCGACAATGTTTGTGGAATTTTCATTTGCAACAATATGATAACAAACAATTTTGAAATCCCAAAACTTCTAAACATATTTATTGTGAAAATGCAATGATTACGACAATGGTTATCTGTTCAAAATAGTAAACAGAATGATGACGAAAACACCATTTGTTATACCTAACATTGTTGACAAACGCACACCTATATTTTAGATAGGCATGTATATGATTGGGTATCATTAACATCATGACGGATAATTTGAAGACTATGAGTTATATTTCTGAACTACTCTAGGATGACTTGACTTTGATGAAGGCGTTTTACAACACTTAAGTTTTGTCTACTTATATTTTCGTATCTTTGAAAAAAATAATAACCTTCCCGGTGTTCTGTAATTTCTAAAGTATGGAAAATAACATGACAAAAGCCTGCTTTTAAAAAAGCAAATGGAGAGCTCTAGTTTCAGCTAAAAAGGTCATAATTTACCTTGAATTAGCAGTCAATTTACATTGAACAATAAAATGTGCTTTCGGGTTTGTACCTACTATCAGTTTGACCTTTCAAATGACATAACAACGAAGCAGAGTTTCATTTCAATTAGCACCTCTGACCTATTTCATCATATGGTTTAAACAAGCATTGCGGTCTACATATGGGACTGTATATTAAGTTAAATATTTAATTTATTACCTGTCTACCTAATATCTAGGTACTTTGGACTCACTTAAGTCTAGATCCGACATATTTGTATATATCAACAAATGATGGCTGGACGGACAATGAAATCTCTCATTGGCTCTATTTGATAGGAAATTTATTCATATATTTATTTAATTTTTGTGACGGCTGATATTTCATGGGATACTGCTTTGATATTAGGCGTAAATGCAAGAGCGACATCACCATAGAATTTAGGACCTAGAACTTAAATTTTCTAAGAAAATAAATTTTATTTAATATGAAGTTGCCTAGCTAAACATAATAAACATGAACAATCAATATTACGCAAAACACTCGCACACTAGCGCAGTAAGTACTAGGACTAAACGGTTATTCCATTACAGTCACCTTCTATGTCGTCAAGAATACGTCTGTTTTCCTAAAGGATAGTTATACACCAGCCGTCTATCCATCATACATCTCTGATCGCCCAACCAGACTCTATCATAACGAGACTGGATCGTGGCCGCAACCTCAGATTTGACCCATAGGAACAACAAAACTACCTTTGTGTAGTAATGTTTCATTTCTTATGCCAACACAGTTACGGCCAATATAGAATTTCTATTGATAAACGACTGATGTCTCGTGGGGTCACACGTCATCTCGGGGGCCATTTGTCCTGGATGATTTGGCTTGAATACTTATGACGTCAAGGAGGACAGAATTTTTCCTCAATAAATTGTTCCTGAGATTTGTGTCTCTTGGAGCACTCTTTCCTTCGGAAGTTGTTATACTACCACAGCTCGCCATAGACCGTAAAGAGGACTGCTTCGATGACCATGAACTGGAAGATGCACTTCGGGCGCTACTTCTGTGTCGTATGAACGTTTGATAATCGGATCCGCGGGCGCTTGAAGATACAGGAACAGCATTTTTCAAACATACACAGCAAGGAAACCAGGTGTACACCAATGTAATTAAATCAGCCTGAAACATATACCAAAGTCGTAAGGACAAGATGCTTTTACGTCATTCTTACTAAAATGTTGCCTTCATTATTTTCTTTTCTTTAGTGGCGTATTTCTTTTATCCCGTTATTTTATGTTCTATTCTCGTCACATGACTTCTAGAGATAATCATTGAGACTAGTCATTAAACTAACACGACGCTTGACCAAATTATGCTGACTTATCTAGAGGATAATCACGACAGGTTAAGTCAGATTATCTTGTTAATCATCTTGATGAGTCAATGTGACCAAACATTGAACACGTTTTCCATTTTTCATTGCATGTGTTTCATGAATTCTTTATTTCTCTTAAACCTCTTCAGATTTGCGATGTGTCCATCATGCTTGCAGCGTTAATAAATCTTAATTGTAATATAATATACAAAATGTGAGGTAAAGAGGTTGTAACCAAAAAGAAAGGAAAGTCCACAGTACAAGTTCAACAGATTCGGCTGTGACATTGATGACAATGAAAAAGGGAACTATTCCCTTCACTTGTTAAATGAAATTCTTAATAACACAAACATTAGTGATATATCTGAGCATGAGCTTAGTGAATTTGTAAATTGTTCGTCAGTTATAATGATATGCTCTGTGAAAAATTTGGACACATGGGTATTTGAAATACAAAGAAAGAAATTATTTTGTTCTGGTTGTATCACAGGAATGTTTGGAAATATAAAAGATATGAACTTAACAAGGAAATCTATAATTCTTTCCATTTTATTGTGACTCTTTATTGGGCTTTTCGAACGAAATATGATCAAAATACTTCATGAGACAGTTCGCCCATATTCCGTATGATGTGCCTCTCGTGTACTGTTTACTGAGTTAGCCACCACCAGCTAATGTATTTTGAAAAAAGGAAACATTAGAAGGATGAATGTATTTCTGCGATTTATTACGATAAATATTTTCTGAAAATATAGTTGATCTTTTCATCTGAATTATACAAAACAAACAAAGAAATATACACTTGCTGGTTTCTATCCCATGAAGTACAGAGGTAAATATAAGAGATATCCTAGGTATCTTTACGGGTTACGTTAGAGCTTACAATATGTATTAGAAACTTTCCACCACATATAACAGATATGTTCCTGGTATATAACAAACGGCTCAAATTCTTTTATAGTCTGACATCTTTGGAGATACTAATAATTAACTAATGTTTCATGTATTACAAATCAAATTAATATTTGTTTTCCTTAACCCATTTCCCGATTCTATATTTAGTAACGACCATGTTCGACTTTAGCTAAGAGGGGTAGACATTCCTCCAACCATTTTCGTTTAATATGTTATACATGCTTACCCTGAAGCTTTCGTTGAAGAAGCCGTAAATAAAAGGGTTCGCAAAACTGTTCGACATTGCCAGCCAATGAATAGCTAGGTACATTCCGAGATAGAAGTGTTCTTCGTCCGCAGATTTATACAGAAGCAGTTCCGGGTTAAAGTTAACGACCATAATGAACACGTGGAGCGGAAGCCAACAGATGCCAAACATGAGCACCACCAGGATGAGCATTTTCAAAACCTGAAATGAAATAGAATCAGTGTATAACAGTAACAGGAGTCAAAACATCAACAGATAAATCTCTACAGTCTTATATACAGAAAAAAACAATACCTTAATTCAGACGTTTTTGAAAAAAAAACGTAAAACGGAGATTATATCAGTATATGAATTTATCTTTTGAAGCATGTTCATTTGAGCAGGTGCACTACATCACAAACAAGAGATAATTGAAAATATAGCATTTTATCTTTTCTATAACACTTCTCAGCATCAGTGTTGAAACCTTGACACTTGCATGCTAAATAACAACACTGATATATCAACGGCTACGTCACTGGGAATTTCAAGACCAACGTAAACACACTCACCTGTGTTTTCACTAGATATCTTAATGAAATCTAGATCCAGGTTTCGAAAAAAATATTCTGTCGGCAACTGACAGATAAACTGACAATGTGAAGTTAAAGAGATGCAGATAAGGAGAGGTTTCGCTCAGCGGAGGAATAAATTAAAGAACTAAATGTTCCTGAGATATATCTCTACTAATCAATTAAGAAATATGGAATATTTAGCCGTTGTTTATCACCAACATATTGTAAGATAATTCAGCTGTTGAGAATGATTCAATATTCAGAACAAACGTTAGTTGCATATGTGTGAAAACCAACTTTCGAGATAATCCAGAAGGATTTTATGTATGTCTCATATCCAAAATCTGTACATAAATTGAAACCCTTGTCTGCTGTAAGTGATGTTGTGATAATTACCGGTTAGTAGATGAACAATAATATAATTTGAAATCACATACAACACTTTAATCGAAATAATTAATAAAAATATATTATAAAGTACCTCATCAAAACAATTTCAATTTCTGTTTCTTTGTACAATGATACATCTTATAATGTAGATTGTCACCATATACCCTCTACACTCTACCATAAACAATATCACCCGAATGATTTTAATAGTAGGCGAGTCAAAATCACAGATAGTATAAAACTTGTCAGCGATATTCCGTAACTCAATAAAATGTTATGAATATTTTTGTAAATACATACATTCCTAGATTGCTGCTCATTGAAAAAGAATTCTCATCATCGGAATCTTTTCTATAAATGTCTTTAAGAAATGATGTATTTTGATAGTACATGTAGTTAACCCATACATCAGTTTTCTTCTCCTGCATCGATGTCAAAATGTCCACTATTAAGCGAAGGGACAATAATGGAAATAAAAGAAATGATGAATTTATTTTGAAATGACGCAGATGACCTGCATAGATATAGCTCGTCAAAATAGGGTTGCGTACCCGAAGAAAGCTGTATATCAAACAAGTTTGATAGAGTTGCGTACCTAAAGAAATTTGTACATTGAATACTTTTGATAACGTTGCTTACCTAAAGAAAGTTGTACATTGAACACCGTTGATAACGTTGCTTACCTACAGAAAGTTGTACATTAAACACCTTTGACAGAATTGCTTACTTAAAGAAAGCTTGAAATTAAACACCTGTGATAAAGTTGCTTACCTTCAGAAAGTTGTACATTGAACACCTTTGATAAAGTTGCTTACCTACAGAAAGTTGTACATTGAACACCTTTGATAAAGTTGCTTACCTAAAGAAAGTTGTACATTTAACACCTTTGACAGAATTGCTTACTTAAAGAAAGCTTGAAATCAAACACCTGTGATAGAGTTGGTTACCAAAAGAAAGTTGTACATTAAACACCTTTGATAAAGTTGCTTACCTACAGAAAGTTTTACATTTAACACCTTTGATAAAGTTGCTTACCTAAAGAAAGTTGTACATTTAACACCTTTGATAAAGTTGCTTACCTACAGAAAGTTGTACATTTAACACCTTTGATAAAGTTGCTTACCTACAGAAAGTTGTACATTAAACTCTTAAACACCTATACTAATACCTTACACCTTTAATGTATTCGATATATCTGTGTTATTGGTTACTTCAGGTTACAATGTATTCATTATATAATTAGACTATTCAACATCGCTTCTTCTCAACTAAATACATGTAGAGAAATGTATTGCTGATAGATATGTTTCAGTTTACAATAATCTTAATGGTCACTCTGTATAGTATATTTATTTTAGGTGTCTATTGTTTTCCGCCTGTGGCAGACTATCAAGAATAACTACTTACTCCTAAGCGATTAGGAAATAACAGCAATATGCTTGACGCTATATTATCTAACAACTTAATCTATGATATCGTGTCTATTTTTGCTACTTTTGAAAAGACTACATAACGCAGCCATGCAGCTATACGAATATCATCAATGTAGTTGGTTAGAATGTATCTTACCGAATGTAACATAACATACTTTTCTATCGATGCTCAGACTTGTACGTTCGGACATAAATCGTGACGTTCAATTTAAAATGAGACTAATTTATTTTACTTATACATCCTTCCTTTTTATCTGCCTATCTATTTGATAAATGTTCAACAGTGATACAATTTTTGGCCTACTGCAATAAAAAATAATCACCAAACAAACCAGTTTTCACAATATGTATATCTGTGTTTTATTCCGAGGACAGTTTCATAATATGTTTACCTGTGTTTTATTCTGCTAACATTTTCACAGCATGTTTACCTGTGTTTTAATTCGCTAATATTTTCACAATATGTTTACCTGTGTTTTAATTCGCTAAAATTTTCACAGTAAGTATACATGTGTTCTGCTGTAGAGATTCGCTGTGATTAATGAAACAACTTTGAAGAAGTTGAAATACAAACAGTACAAACAGCGATGTTGTGTATCACTACATCGACACAACACAAAGAATAGGTAAAGAGAGATAACTACAAGACCTGAGGGGATTCGGCGTAAATGTTTCCTCTCAGTCACTGACACAGATCAGAGTGGATGTGAAACGTTTGACTTCTAAGATAACACTCTGTTCTGTAACGGAAAATGTTAAGGAAGGAATTTCAAACTACTTTGGCAAGAGGCGGCTAGGATTAACTCTTCACTACAGGATATAAAGCTCGGCTTTTGAACTGTTGTTTTGTGTAGCAGGTCTGTTCCTCATTAAGATGATTTATAGCTGTCTGATCAATAAACTCTAGCGACTTGGCCTTGTACTTTAAACTTATCTAACAATGCGGTTATCTATGTTTCACAACTTTCTCAGAAAATCTGTTCTTCATCTAACTGCTTAATCAAGTCCTCACGTAAAAACATTCAAAGCGTACGAGATTTTATTTTATATATCCAAAATATGCCTGATCCATTATTTTGATGGGGATGTATACTTTCAATATACATGTTTTGTGACTATGACGCTTCATAGTCTCCTCACGCACAATCAATGAACTGTTTTAGCTGTATAAATCTACACATCTGGATCGAGTTATAACATGTTCCATCACGATATAAATTTATTTTTGTTTGTGACATGCTATTTTATGTGTCTATCAAGTAGTAAACAGAACAATTACTACCCTTTCAAAGAGCACCTATATATTGAAATTTGCTGATTATTATCATGCCGTTGTATGTTGTATACTTAGTAAAGATTTTATTCTGGAAGTACCTGTTTATGTCGCTTGGAAGCGTTACCATCACTGAATCCCCAATCTGCGGTACTTAAACGTTAGAGTTGATTCGAAATTCAAGGACCTATTCTCAATACCACGATTTTTGCACACGATATCGCCAATTGAAAGACAAAAGCACAACACAGGGTTTCGAAAGATGCAGGTTGATGAGAATGAAGTTTTATAGTCTTTATAATTGTCTCATTGGGGAAAACCATATATTCTAATGCGATATGAAAAGTTAGACGTGTTTGGTGCTCATTAGTGTACGTGTTAGTTCCGTTGTTTACTAGTTCTCATTGGGGATCGTGAACCACTATCTTAAATTGACCAAGATTTACATAGTGAGTGAAGCTTAACCTTCGAGAACAATTAATCTGACACCCCCGCCTTTGCTCGAGTGTTATGGAATTGAGTTTGAATTAAGTTCCGGTTGATAATTTGATATTTTCTTGTTGTTTCTACAACCATCCTGATGTCCTAGAAATAAATCATGCATACAAATTGGCCAATATTCGATAGTTTGGAATTTCAATGTATATACCGATAAAAATGAAGATGGTTACAATAAAGTGCATATAGGTGATATGCTTAACTCACTGGTCAATCCTCCGGTACACACTTCGTCCATGGAAATGCTTTTGTGTAGGATATAAAGGAATCTCAGATTTGGTGAATTTGTAGGATAATGGATTGAGCTGGTATAAAGATAAAATCAAATGTATTGCACATATAGTTCAAGATTTGTTTTTCAACCAAAAGAGTAACCAAAGCGTTATACATGTAAACATCTAAACAATGCTTTGTGTAATTGTCGTCATATTATCTCGTTGGGAAATATCGTACTGTATAATATAATATAGTTGATGCCCGTTAATATAACCTGAGGTTTTATTGTTGTTTACTATCATTTCGGGGCGTGCTATTACCTTTACATTGACTTGAATTGGTCATTATCTACTTTGAGGTTACCGTCTATAAATCAGGAGAAATTGCCCTTCCCGTATGAATATGTCTTTTGAAGATTTTCAGCCGTGGTGTCATTAAAATTGAGTTTGAATTAATTTTCTGTTTAAAAGTCTGCATTTCGATGTTGTTTTTCTAAATATGACCAAATCGATAGGATTTGGCGTTGTAATTCTATTTTTGAGTTGGCATAGTCTCTATTTCCGACTAGATCCATGATTAATGTTATAACCCAGTGTCTTTGTATAAATCTTACATATGTACAAAGCTATATCGTGGCATATACATTTTAAGGGGAGGTGTTCGAATATCTTACGTCAATTCATCTAGCTGGTATTCAGTATTGTGGGTACGTGATATCTATATCTCTAGTTGGTATTCAGTATTGTGGGTACGTGATGTCAATATCTCTAGCTGGTATTCAGTATCGTGGGTACGTGATGTCAATATCTCTAGCTGGTATTCAGTATCGTGGGTACG